TCCCCCCTACACTCACTAACATAAAACACAGCACACAATACAGCAGACAGCACACGTAGTACAGACAAGCAGCGGCACCCACACAAGAAGACTACATTAAGTAAGTACAAATAACAATATACACACATAAGAAAATATTACGTACATAAAATAATAATACGAATATTTGTATATTACAGATAACACCTGTACAGTGTGAAAACAAGAACTAGCTGCTCCAGCACTTAGACATACGGCATGTAACCCTAAGAATTTTAAATTTTAAATTTAAAATTTAGAGAAAATTTTAAAAGGTTTTAAAAACTTCATAACTAAAGTTTTTTAAAGTGCTACTACAAGAATATCAAATTTGACGTGTGCAACATAATCTACATACCAGACACATATCAACGATGTAGATATTGATAATACGAAGAATGTGACATTGTGCTTTTAAATGTTAAATTTTAGACCGAGTTCAGTGTGGCAGCAACGTTAAGAGTATACACCTGATGATGGCCGATAGAGGCCGAAACATGTAGTGTAGAAAGAACAAGATCAAAGACACATAATATATATTGTTTGCACTTGGGACGGAATTTGTGTCATTTATTGTATAGAGTGCAACAGGATGCTTAAATATAATATTATAGATTTACCTCTTTTTTATCAGTTGTAATATGGGCTAAAAAAGAGGTAAATCTATCATTTTAACAGGTCATGGAGGCCCACAGGGTTGTGAAATGTCAAGGCTCACAGATTTTTTACACAATCAGCTCACAGACGGTGGTGAGGTTATCAGACTTAGTGCCCTGGCCACCCTTTATGCCCAGGAAGATTCTTGGTACTCATTAGTTAGAGGCTGAGTTAGCGGCCTCCGTAGTCTAGAGGTAACGTTCCCACCTGCCTTCACTGAAGTTTTTCGTGATTTTCATCAGTCCCTCCAGGTAAATTCTGGGAACAGTACCTGAAATTATGCTGTGACCACATCCTTTCCAATATGTTATCCAGTCATTCCTTGCTATATAGTGCATCACTAAGTAAACTACAAATGAATAAATGTTATACTTTCTGTCATATTTGTATTTGTTCTTTTTCAGGCACATTCTCTGAAAATGAATTCTTCCTTTCACGCATTTCAACTGGCAGGCATGCCTGACTTGAGCCCTAATAGGAAGCACATTCGCCTAAAGAAGAGTATGTCACTGCCAGATGACACTTTAGAATACTGGGGTTTTTATCTTCTCAAAGGTTCGACAGTGGCCCTCTCAGTGTGCTCAAGGTATGTTTCCTGTCAGGTGACATCTTCACTCTTTCAGAATCAATGCAAATAACAGATAAAAATATCGTTATTTAAAGTTATACTATGAAATCCTGTCTTAAATGTCAATCCTAAGAACACCTGAATTCATTTGAATTGTAAACATTTCAAACAAGCAACCCTAGCAATTTATTTGTAGGATTTATGGTTCTTACCATCTGCAGGGTCAACAATTAAGCAAAGCAAGAAACCAATGTGAAGCAGGTAGCATTACCAATTGCTTCACACTGGTTCCTTCGTGTTGTAGCTTACAAGTTGTCATTATTTATCTGTGGCTCATTTCACAGCACTTTTAATAGCTCAGATCTTGTAGTGTTGAATGATAGAATGGATGGAAAAGGTAAGAAGGAACTTGGCATGACCTGATTTGAAGTATTATCCTGGCATCTGTCTACAAGGACTGAATGGATAACCTGAATCATGATAGCTGGTCTTCAGGCTGAAATTTGTACTCAGGATCTCCTGAAGACAAAGCATGAATGCTACGTGCTTGGCTGTGATGTTCAGTGGACACCAGTGCATAGCCTTTCTTTCTATCACATTTTCAATAGTCTTTTCCCCGAAATGAACAGAACTATAAATATGAAATGATGCATGTTGTATTAGACATGACTTTCAAGTACATTTTCTAGTTTTGCAGACATTCTGTGTTTTGTCACTGTGTAACATGGATAGTGTCACATCTTTACAGTGGTGAGCATGTCAGTAACCATAGTGACAACTGCAGTTTCCATCCTCACACTTCATGCAGGGTTTGTGGTAAAAAAAGAAAATAAAGCTATCCCTGTAACAGGCCATGAAGGCCCATAGGGTTGTGAGACATTGAGGGTCCCACATTATCTAGACATTCAGCTCAAAGATGGCGGTAAGGTTGTCAACCTTACGTGCTGGCCACTCTTTACTCCCCAGGAAAATTATTTGATTAATTCCTGGTACTCATTTGTGTTAAAGGCTGAGTCAACCCCAGGGCCCTAGTGCAGCTGGAAGGATTAGGTCAAATGAAAAAAATCCAGTGACCTCATCATGACTTGAACGCACGACCTTCCAGCTTAAGAGTGTTTATATGCTTTGTCCTTGATGTAGCTCCACAATAAAATGTTTGCCACAGTCATATTAGATAACCCAGTTTGTCATAGACTGGACCCTAGTCAGTCAATCCATGCACTGGGTGAAGTTTTGTCAAAGTAGACCCTCACCCCCAATGAAAATGTGGTGGATATTTACTCCAGTAATCATTGTGTCCACAGCAAAAAGGGGACCATAAAATTTCTTCTGGTTTCTGCTCACATCCCTCAAAATAAATTATTTTATCTCATATCTGTTGTCAGCAATACAGAGGGGCCCAAAAAATGTATACACACAAAATATCTGCTTAAATAATTTGTTGGTGTCTCTTTGGTTCAACTTTAATAGAGGTTATCTATGGATATTTTCCAAGTTGAACAGAATATATACCAACAGATTATTTAAGCAGATATTCTGAATGTTGAAGTACAAATACATTTTTGTGCCCCTCTATAAAGAAGTAACTTCCACTATCCACCAGTTTGCTTCATGATCACTGAGGATCATGGTGGGGTAACAATTTTCCCTGTGTTTGTCCTTACCTCAGAAGTATTTTCTGTGCCCTTGGATGGTTGACAGAAGCCAGGAAGGTGAAGGAATCTTGGCAAATGACGATATTTGAGACATGATGTGCTCACAGCAGTGCATAATACATTTACTGTCTTCTGGGTGTCATGCCATGAAGTTTGGTATATATGGTACAAACCTGATGCCTGCATCTTCAGGATAAATTATTCTTCAACCCCAAAGACTGTACCTGTTGACTAAACTACACAGCAGCACATCTCAAAAGACTGTAAAATTAAAACAAAAATATTGTTTCCTCATGTCTGAAATATTTACATGGCAGAATTGGTGAAATGTTGCAGGTTCCAAGGGTCCAGAGTCATGGTCGTTAAGGGTGAGAAGAATCTTAAAACATGCGGTTTGCTAGACCACAGGAACGAAGTGGCTGTTCACCCTCATATGGCAAGTGGTCAGGGCCAAGTACGGGTCACATTTGATACTGAAGCCCAAGAAGTCCATTCAAAGCAAGTGACTCGCCCTCTCAAACGAACAGAGCAGTATGCAAATGATGATTTAGAAGGTGTGAATTTATCTGATGATGCAGATAATGTGGGTAAGGAACTGACAGAGAATGACAACATCACAGTTTTAGAGCAGTTGGCCAAACAGCACATCAGAAAGAGATATTTACAGTTTCAAAATGGAATGGGCTCTGTGAAAAGTAATGGTTCTATAGACAGCCAGAACCAAACTCAGCATGTTCGGCATGCAAGGAGACGATTGAAGGATTCAAAAATAAGCGATAGTGGTAAAATGGAACAGAATAATGGGCAAAAGAAACATTTAGAAGAATTTATAAAAGATAAAAGTGGTAAAATGTCAAGATTGGGCATCACTGAGAGAAGTACCTTTAATAGTAGTGAAGGGGGAGGAGTGCAAGGTGAAATGCATCAAAAAGCAAAGCGAGCTGCCCATTTTGCCCCTACGCATTTATTGGATGGTGGTGTTGAACATGGTGGGAATGCAGGAAACATGAGTGAAGGGGCTGATATGGAGTCCTCTGTTTCTAGCTTTGAGAACAGTCTGCTTACTTGTTATGATGGACACATACTGCTTGCACAAAGTTTCCTCCCATCTCCAATGTGTACTAATGTTCATGTCCTTGAAAAACATGGTACAATGGAAACTGTCCATGAAGTAATTGCAGATGGTTACTATTACTATATATTCTACAGTGATAATGATTATGTACAAAATGATATACATGCTATCTTTAATATTCACAAACCCACATACCAATATGCTAAGCACAGCCGGGCATGTTTTAATCAGACGGAATGTACTTTTCCTATAGCGTTTTGGTCTGATGAAACCGTTATTGTGGAGGTGCCAACCCGTGATGGTATTGAACATGAAGAAGATGATATAACATTTCTCATTTCGAGTTGCTATCCCAGGATGTCTGTCTATGTTATATTTCCTGTTTCTGTACTTTTCCTAATATTGGGGTGTGCATTTATGTGATTGTAGCCTGGATAGCTCAGTCAGTATAGTGATGGGCTACAGGCTGGATGGCTGAAGAATCAGGGTTTGATTTCTCTGTTCTTCACAGCTACCAGACTGCCTCCATGGTCCTCTCACCCACCTGTCCAACAGGCACGGAGACTATCCCCATGGGTAAAGCAGCCAGGGCATAAAGCTAACCACTCACCTCCATCTGTTTTGTGCTCACAGTAAGTTTAGTCCTGATGTCAGCAGATGCGTGTTATCAAGTGTTCTGATAGGGCATTGGCCAAAGCATTACCATTATGGAGTGCAAGATATTAAAATTATAGTTCCTGATGTGATTGTTTCATCACTTGGTCCCAAGCTGTAATTAAAGATTATTAGAGGAACGTAAACTTTGTAATGTACCTATGTACAGATTTCCAGTAATGCAGTCATTTTGTAAATCTGTGCATGCATGACCACCATTATGGTAGCCTGCTCTGATGAGACGTGTTGTTAACAGTTCTGTATGGTGGAAGCGGTCTGAGTTCTATCGACCAAGAGGTCCACTAGCTGACAGCAAGTAATTGTTCCTGTAATTCCTCATTATTAGCAGTTGTTGTACTCGTATATTGAAGTTAGGATTTGCTGCCCTCGTACTAAAGGACAGATATCCAGCGACAGGTGAGTAGCATATGGTGGATGTTTTGATGTCGGATTAATGTATAGTCACCTCTACAGCAACGAGCAGTTTCATGGTGTTAGAGAGGCACACAAAAAATGTACCAGTATAGCAACTTCACACAGAAGGATATTTGTTCCTTTGTTTACATCAGGATTCACTTTATGGTGCATAGAATGTAGTGCTGCAGTTAAGAATGTGCGGAACTGTCCCTCCACTTTTCCATACATACTCATGGCTTGATGCTTCATAAAACATTGGCATTACATAATTAATGTGTCTTGCCACTAGTAGAACAAGTTGTCCACTGAATTATGTGACAGTCTGTACCAAGTCAGTAATGTGTTTTCCAGAATTTTATAGAAAATATCACATCAGAGATTATGTTGAAGTTTAGTGATCTACATTAAACATATGAAGGAAACTGAAAGTGTGTAAATGTGCACTGGAACTTCCATTTAACATTCAGTTTGGCTGATCCCAAGTGAGTAATATTGGAATCTGTCTAAGATATTCCTCAGCGTGGTACAGTTCCACTACTCATCAAAGAAACTTTAACACATTGCAGACCAGCGATTTAAATATTTAAAGCACCCTGGGGCCAGCATTATTATACCTACTATACTAACTTGTGCACTGTTCACTTTAAAAATTAATATAAAATCTCCTAATTAATTTAAAAATTAAAATTTTTGGAGAACACTTACCAGTGCTCCTAGAAGTGCTTGAGGGTGTGATATTTGTGGAAACGTTCCCCTTTGTGAAGTGGCATTACACAGAACTTGCAAATGTAGACATACTCCTTTTTTTGTGAACTGTGCAAACACGGCATTGCCTAGCAGGATGCTTCCCCTTGGAATGTTCACTCTTCACAATTTTCACGAGGGCATGTTTCCGCATATCACCCGAGAGTCACCCTGAGGGGTCCGCATGAGGCCTGCATGGGGTAGGAGTGGATGGGCCCGGTTGCACTAAGTCTGTGTCTGACTCTGGTTCTGCCTCCACCATCTGATCTGTAGCCCAGGCCTTTGCCACCTTCATCAGAAATGCTTTGTATTTCAATTTCGAATCAGGGTTTAGATTTTTGTGATTTTTTTACTGTCCCCGCAATGTTATTACCCCCATTATCGTCGGAGCTACTGTCACTTTTACTGTCTGTGGCCACAGTTCTTTGTTCTCCCCTGTCATTGCTGCTCTGTGAATCACCATTACTACCCGTCTCACAAGCCAGGTCAGCTAGCTCATTGAAGAAGAATTTGTCCTTGTCTATGCCCCACCACTAACTACTGGCTGGTACATACAGCTTGAAGAGCAGCAAAGCATTTTCGTTTATAGTGGGTTAAGAAAACAGTGAGGTCAAGTTACTGACAAGTAAGCAAACATTCCAGAGTTTTATTATGCCATTGCATGCAACTAGGGTGGTGCCAGAGCAAGGTATAGTGTGTTACGACCTAACGTGTCCTAAAATCATGATATCATGCGACCGGTCTGCCACGTTTAAAAGCCAAAAGCATGATATCATGCGACTGGTCCTCAATGTGTTAAATGAGGGTTTCACTATGCTGTCTGATTGGTGATCTTCTGGTTGCAGAATTTCAAAAGCACCCTGTTCTCCACACCCTTAATCTGTGTTCTTCCCTTAGGCTCTCACATAAGTTATATTAGCATCTAAGAGGGAGGAAGTTGCATAATGAGGAGGATTTGGCATATACAGTGTGGCACACTTAGTAGATATGAGATGCATACAGAGTTTTGGTCAGAAAAACCTTTGAAGACCTAAGCACAGTGGGAGGATAATAAGTGCATCTTAAAGAAATAGGGTGAGAGAGTGTTGACTGGGCTAGGAAAGGAACCAATGGTGGGTTCTTGTGAACACAATAATGAACATTCAGGTTTTGTAAAAGAGAATTCATTGACTAGCTAAGTGACTATTAATGGTGTATCTTAGCATCCTGTTGCTCTTGGTATTAGACTTCATTTCCAGTTGTTTACTGTCCACCATGCAACAATAGCAAGATTTAAAATTTAGTCCTTTTTGTAATCTTTGTCACTGCACTACATCTTTCAGCCTACTTGGCTGTCATAAAGAGCTTTGAAATTCAGGTGAACTGCTGTGCCTTCCATGCTACTGATATCAGTGTTTTCATGTTTACAATGTTTGTAAATGAAGTCAGTGTAGTTCGTGCTCCTATGCCACATGTATTTTCTCTGTAATGTATAATTATAATTCTGTTAGTGTTTTGTTCTTATGGAATATCTTTAAGTTGTATACTGTTAATGTGGTTAAATGTGTACTTACTTTTTTGGTATGCCTGTTGCCTACATATCTAGTGTGCAGTTTGGATGTTATGAGTGTGTTGTGGAACTGGTTGTTTTATACAGTGGATTGGGGCATGTGTGCTGCTATCTTGTGTAGTGTTATAAGTATCGATGTGCTGTTCATGTGTAATCTGTCATTGCTAATTTTATGTGTGTGTGTGTGTGTGTGTGTGTATATATATATATAAATATATTATTGATAGTGGGGTAGGACTAAGTCCCTTCTACTGTGGCCACTTCTGGCCTATTGTACCAGCCCCAGATGATAGGTGAGGGTGATTGTGGAGCAACTGGTGGAATGAAGATTGGCAAGGGAAACTGAAGTACTCTGAGAAAACCTGCCCCAGCGCCACTTTGTCCACCACAAATACTACTTGACCAGACCCAGGATCGAACCCAGGCCGCCACTGTCAGAAGCCAGCGACTAACCACTTGAGCTATGGGACGGATTGTGTGTATATATACTATATATGGTATTTTTCTGATGTGTTTAAATGTTTTCCTTTTTTTCCTCTATTTTTATAACATCCATCGTGTCTGTTATAGTGCCATATGTATGTCCTGTGTTCATTATATGATTTGAGTAATTACAAAACACTTCAAAGGAACGCCAATAAACACAGCATTCAGAACATGAAACACAATACAGAACATAATAAAACTATACTCACAGTGGCATATACTAAATAAAATGCCTATATTGCCGATTAAAATACATAGGAGAAACAGGCAGAATATTTCACACTAGATATAAAGAGCATACATACACAGGCAATTAGAAGTAATAATGGCAGCTCTGGTTGATGATGGCCAAGTAGGCTGAAACATGTAGTGCAGTGACAAATTTTAAAAGGATTTAAATTTAAATCTTAATATTGTTGCATGGTGGACAGTAAACATCTGAAAATAAAGGTGACTATTAGGTTTTCAAGCATGATTCTACATCATGAAGTTAATTATTATAGTCCTGTATTTTATTGATACATGGCAGTACAGACTAAAGTAAACACTGAAATTGTGCATAATACTGTATATTGTTTATATTCTTTACAATATTTTTAATGGTTTACATTCTTTATTTATTTATGAATCATTCAACTATAATGTCAGTATGTCAGACTGGGATGATTAATGAATTAGAAAGGGTGTGAAAGGAAGAGTTCATGGTCTGGTTTGAGAGATTGTACTAACATCTACTTCCAAGCACAGAGAAGAGCCAGGGTAAAATCTCAGTGAGGACAAGGAAGTGTCATGGCCAAGATTCAAGTAGGACACCTCCTGAACACATACCAGCAGCATTGCCACTTGACATATTTTGCTGGCTGAATATGTGTATAACCCAGAACATAATTATACTTAAAACCAATTTTGTAATTATAGCCATATTAAAAAGATATCAGGTTCTCACAGCAGGGAATGTTAAAACTGTGGGCTCTCTGGGATGTGACAATATTTTTTCTTTTGTGGTTTACAGCATGTTTGTATACAGATATATAGGAGGCTCAAGAGGAAGGGTTCTGTGAAGTCATATTATCAGCCATTTTAACCCGTTGCCGTGGTTCGTCGTGTATGTTTTGTCAGGGATTTAAATCGTCTGGGGGGGTTCGACATGTATGTTTCGTTCAGCTGCACACCTATGTTATAACGCCCATAATAATTGATGGTTTTGCTGTAGATTGTTAGATTTTTCGCTGGCCTGTTGTCAGTAGAACAGAGTATAAATAAGACACGACTTTATCTGCGCCAATTCATCGTTACATATGCCTGTCTTGCAGCAAAGTTCCTGTGGTTCTGGCGAGC